CAGTTCCACAGGGCTGGGAAGGTGGCTCAGTGCTAGAGCGCTTGCCTTGCATGCATGAGGCCCTGGGTTCAATTCCTCAGCACCACATAAGCGGAAAAAGCCGGAAGTGGCACTGTGGCTCAAGTGGTAGAGCGCTAGTCTTGAGCTGAAGAGCTGAGGGACAGCGCCCAGGCCCACAGTTCAGGCCCCACGACTGGACCAAAAAAAAAAAAAACAGTTCCACAAAAGTGCCTACAATTGTTCCAGAATTGTAAGATCCATGACCCTGGCCCTCCTCTAGTTAGACTTCAGATCATAGGCTAGGTTTACCCCATCAAAACAGCAGGCCTCTGTTCATTCAATCTAATGTTTCTACTTTGAAAAATTACTCCATCCATATATTTTAGTTTAACCTCTAACAAAGCCTAAAATCTACTCATCTGTCCAGCTAACTTTTGAGTCTGATAAAAAAAAAATTGGTTTCTTTAAAAGAAATAGAAGCTTTAAAATACACACTTGCTGAACTTCACATAAAAAGTTTTTACTGGATGAAATTGGTTTAAAAAATACAAGACTGATCCACCCTTGGTGGATATTGTTGGACAGGGAGGGAGGGAGGGAGAAAGGAAGGGAAGAAGGAAGAAAAGGAGAGAGGGACGGTAAGAGGGAGGGAAGATTTCTTAGCTTTCTTAAGTCAAATTATCACTACAGAAGAGTACCACAGCAGCAAGCACTTACTATTCCAAATTGAGTCTGAGTGGCTCAAAATTTGTTTATTAAGACTTATCTGAATCAGGAATATTTTAATTATATACATTGCCTAATTTTCATTTGTGCTTTGAATTTCACTCATTAATCTATTTTATAGTAGGAACTGGCAAATTTCTGCTCCTATTTAGTCTTATATGAAAATATCTTACCTCAAGATAGCCTGGGACAAATGGTCCTGGTCAGCCTCTCACTGTGTAAAAACTACCCCAGTGCCTATCTGTGGACTGGCTTATTTTCAGCCACATCTCTTGCTCCTTAGAAAATTGATTCTTCTTTTCTTAATATGTCTTTTATTGTAAAAATAGTGTACAGAGGGGGTTACAGTTACATGAGTAAAGAGTACATTTCCTATCAAGCATTGTTACCTCCTTCTTTGTTTTTCCCCTACCATCCCTTCCCTCCCCACCTTCCCAACTCCTCCCTCTGCCCCACAAGTTGTAAAGTTAGTTTTCAACATAGTGTTTTGTACATCTCATTGTTTCAATGGATCAACCTGTATCCCTATTTAAGCATTTGTTTTTTCCCTTCCCCTCCGCAAATTAGAAAAGTGTAGATACAAGATGCAGGACCCTGGAATCAAATACAGTGAAAACAGGGGTTATACCATGGGGGGAGAACATGCAAAAGAAAACAAAAAAAATCACATAGTACATTATAAGTACGTTAAAAACAATAGCAAAAAAGAAAAAATCCACTTGTGTCCCTGTCCTGGGGTTCATTTCACTTAACATCATCTTATATGGTCATATGTACATAGCTTTTGACGTTTTCTGATTGTCCCAGACATATACTAGTTACTGCAAATAAGGGAAACCATGGGACCTATGTTTCTTTGGGACTGGCTTACTTCACTTATAATTTTTTCCTAGTCTTTCCATTTACTAACAAATGGGGTGATGTCATTCTTTCTGACATCTTTCTGGAGGCATAGAATTCATATATATATATGTATATGGGAAGTTTCTTATATATATATATATATATATATATATATATATATATATGGGAAGTTTCATATATATATATATATATATGAAACAGGATTTTCTGTCTTTGTGTAAGTTCTTAGGTTTTTTTCCTTTTCTTTCTTCACTACCTGTACTTTTCTGGGTGTTCACCTTTTTTCATACACACACACACACACACACACACACACACACACACACATATAGGAATTCTGTGCCAATATATATTCTATGCCTATACATAACATCTGGGTTGGTTCCATATCTTAGCTATGGTAAATAATGCTGCAATAAACATAGTTGTGTTAGTGGCTTTAGTATACCCTTGTTTGTGATCCTTTGAGTAAATGCCCAAAAGTAGGATTGCTGGGTCATAGGAGAGCTCTATGTGGAGTCTTTTGAGGAACCTCCATACTTCTTTCCAAAGTGGTTGAACAAGTTTACATTCCCACCAACAGTGCAGTAGGGTTCCATTCTGCCCACATTCCCTTAGCATCTGTTGTTATTAGATTGCCTGATTACAACCATTCTAACTGGGGTGAGGTGGAATCTCAGTGTTGTTTTGATTTTCATTTCTTTTATGGCTAGAGAAGTTGACCATTTCTTCATGTGTCTGTTGGCCATTCTTATTTCCTCTTCAGAGAAGTTTTCTTTAAGTCTTTAGCCCATTTATTTATCAGACAGTTGTTTCTTTGAGGATTTGTTGTTGGGGGAATTTAATTTTGTGTTCTAAGTATATTTTAGATATGAAACTCTTGACTGTTGTATGGCTAGTGAAGATCTTCTCCCAATCCATGGGCTTTCTATTGATCTTGCTAGCTATGTCCTTTGCCATGTAGAAGCTCTATAGCTTAATGCAATCCCATTTGTCCAACCTTTCTTTGATTTGTTGTGTTTCCGGGTCTCTATTAAGAAAATTCTGGCCTATGCCAAGGAGCCCTAGAGTTTCTCCTATTCCTTCCTGTAATGTTTTCAGGGTGTCTGCTTTGACTTTGAGGACTTTGTTCCATTTGGAGTTGATTCTGGTGCAGGGTGATATATAAGGATCTAGCTTTGGTTTTCTACAGGTGTTTAACCATTTTGCCAGCACCATTTACTTAAGAGGCTTTCTTCCATTCTATATTTTTTAGCTCCTTATCGAAGATTAGGTGGCTATAGGTATGTGTGTTCATTTCTGGGTCTTCAGTTCTATTCCATTGGTGCTCAGGTCTATTCTTGTGCCAGTACCAAGCTGTTTTGATTACTATGGCTTCGTAGTAGAGTTTGAAATTCGTTATTGATATCCCTCCAGCACTGTTCTTTCTGCTAAGGATTTTTTTTGCTATTCGGGGTCATTTTTTGTTCCATGTGAATTTTGGGGTTGCTTCTTCTATTTCCTTGAAGAATGAGGTTGTAATATTGATAGGTATTACACTAAATTAGTAGGTAGCTTTTGGAAGTATTACCATTTTCACGATGTTGATCCAGGAGCATGGGAGGTTTTTCTACTTCCTAAGTTCTGCTTTAGCCAACACCGTTTTATAATAAAACTTCTGGAAGGAATCCATGGAATATATATATATATATATATATATATATATACATATATATATATATATATGTCAATATAATAAAGGCTGTATATGACAAACCTACAGCTAGCACTGTACTTAATGGTGAAAAGTTAAAATCATTTCCCCTAAAATCAGGAACAAGACAAGGATGTCCACTCTCTACACTCCTCTTCAACTGGAAATCCTAGCCAGAGCAATAAGGCAAGAGACAAACATATAGGGGATCCAAAAAGGGAAAGAAGAAGAAAAACTCTCCCTCTTTGCAGTTGACATCACTGAACTCCTTAGACTCCACTCCCAGTTACTTAGGCTTATCCAAAACTTTGGCAAAGTAGCAAGGTATAGAATTAACCAACAAAAAATCAGTAGCTTTTCTGTATGCCAACAACAAGATGAATGAGGCCGAAATCAGAAAAGCAACTCCTTTTGTAATACCCCCCCAAAAAAACCTAGGAATTAACCAAAGAAGAGAATTACTTCTACAATGAAAACTTTAAAAACCTGAAAAAGGAAATTAAAGCAGATTTAAGGAAGTAGAATAACCTCCATGGCTCCTGGATTGGGAGGATTAACATTGTGAAAATGGAATGCTGCCAAAGGCTATCTACAAATTCAATGTGATACCCACCAGTATCCCAAAAACTTTCTTGAGTGAAATAGAAGACGTAATCTAAAAATTTATGTGGAATAATACCAAATCCAGAATAGCAAATACAATCATTAGCAGGAAAAACAGTTCTAGAAGAATATCAATACCAAACTTAAAAGTCTATTATAAAGCCGTACTTATAAAAACAGCTTCCTACTGGCACATGAACAGGCCTGAGGACCAATGGAATAGAACTGAAGAACCAGAAATGAACCCTCAGACTTATGGCTACCTAATCTTTGATAAGGGAGCCAACAACAAAAACAAACAGGATGGAAGAAAGACAGCCTCTTCAACAAATGGTGCTGGCAGAATTGGCTATACATGTGTAGAAAACTCAAGTTAGGTCCTACACCAGAATCAGCTCCACATGGATAAAAAAAAACATTGAGGTAAGAGCAGATACCCTAAAAATACTAGGTAGGGATAAGGGAAACTCTAGGGCTTCTTGGCACAGGATGAACCTTCCTACATAAAGATCCAGAAACACAAGTCAAAAAAAGGCTGAATAAATGGTATTACATTACACTGAAGAGCCTCTACATGGCAAAGACACGGTTAGCAAAATAAATGGAAAACCCACATATTGGGAGATCTTCACTAGCTATACAACAGACAAGGACCTCATATCAAAAATATACCTAGAGCTCAAAAATTAACCACCTCAATAGGAAATGTACTCATTACCTTGCTCATGTAACTGTAGCCCCTCTGTACAGCATTTTTACAAAAAAAAGTACAAAAAATAACCCGTTCAATAACAAATCCTCAAAGAAACAACCACCCCTTTAATAAGTGGGCTAAAGAATTAAAAAGAGATTTTTCTGGAGAAGAAATAAGAATAGCTAATAGACACATAAAGAAATGCTCAACATCTCTGGTCATAAAAGAAATGTGAATCAAAATTACATTGAGAATCCACCTCACCCCTAAGTTAGAATCGTCATTATCAAGAAAACAAATAATAACAGATGCTGGCAGAGAAGTGGCCCAAAGTGAATGTCACTACAATGTTGGTAGAAATGTAAGCTACTTCAACCACTCTGAAAAGTAGTATGGAGGTTCCTCAAAAGACTATATATACACCATGTTTCCAAGGGCTGTGGCTGATTGTGGCCATGAGATCTCCAACTGCATGCAAGAACAACTTGGAGAGACTTTGACAGCTCAGGTCTGCACAATACCTGTTGTTGCTGCCACTCGCCTTTCCTATAATGTTAAAAAAAAAAAAAAGACTACATATAGAGCACACCTATGATCTAGCAATCCCACTCCTGGGCATTTAACCAAATGATAACAAACAAGGCCGCACTAAAACTACCAGCACAACTATGTTTATTGCAGCATTACTTACCATAGTTAACATATGGAACTAACCCAGATGCCCCTCAGTAGATGAATGGATCAAGAAAATGTGGTCTATACACACAATGGAATTCTATACTTCCATCAGAAAGAATGACATCACCCCATTCAGAAGGAAATGGAAAGACTTGGGAAAAAAAATTCCTATTAAGTGAAGTAAATCAGACCCAAAGAAACATAGAAGCTCCATAGTTTTCCTCATTTGTAATAATTAGTATACGTCTAGGATAGTCCTAGCAGAGGATCACAATAGCTCAGTAACTATGTATATATGACCATGTAAAATGATGCTAATCAAAATGAACTCCAAGATATTGAAACAAGAGGGGTTTTTTTTTAATGTACTGGTGAAATGATTTATTTTTTCTTTCATTTCTTCCCCTTTGGTTTACTCCCTGTTGTCACTGTTTTTTATTTGGGTACCCTGTGTCTAGTATATACATTTAACTGGTTTGGGAAAGGAAAGGGGAATAACAAAATGGTGAGACAAAGGACAAAGGCTGACCAATGCAAGAGCAATACTCACAAGACATTGGAAATGATTTTACAACCTGGGGGGTTTGATTTTCTTATTTGTTTTGTCTCTTATGCTTGTTGGGGGGCTTGGGGGAGGGAAAATGGGAGAAAATGAGAGGGGGGTAACACTGTTGGACAAGAAATGTTCTCATCGCCTTACTTATGTAACTGTAACCCCTCTGCACATCACCTTCACAATAAAATTAAATTTAAAAAATTGTCCTGGCTATTATTTTCTTTACAGATTCTAGAATCTATATACACTGCATCAATTTCAGTTTTGATACTTTTGCAAAAATTTGAAGAACTGCTATTTTGTTTTTCTGCTAATTTTTTCAGTTTTATGTTTATAAGCCCAAAGGCACCAGGGGCTTCCCTTGTCACAACATACCAAAGCTCACAAGGACTCATAATAAGCAACACCCCTTGATGGGAACAAGGAAATAATCTTTGCCATTAGGCTTCACTGTCCTAGGCCCAATCAGGACTTTCTTCATCACAGGACTTCTGTCATCACAGTGTGAGCTAAGTTTCAGTTTCCTGTGACTGATGACTCCCAGAAACTAATCAGCAATAGCCCTAGCTTTCCCCAACAGCCTCATCTTTCCCCTGTGTTCATCCCCTTAAATCTACCCAAAGTCTGTGGTTCTCCCTCTCCTTCTCCCTCCCCATCTCTCTCTCCTACCGAGGCCCTCTTAAGGTTTTCTGTAATAAAGACTGACTGCTGTCAAGATCACATTCATCTCTGACTCACATTCTTTGCTCTAACCTTGAACACTTCCCTTATACCTCTTCTGATGATTTTGACAACACATTTCATGCTCCTAATCATCCTGAAACTTGTAGTTTAATCTTCCCATCCTTGACATCATACAATACATACTATAAGGAAGGATAAAACAGGACAACCTAGAGAATTTCAAGCCAGGACATAGAAGAGCTTCTGGGCAGGACAGTAGAGCTCAAAATCAAACACTTGGGATGCAGCAGCACTCATACATCATCTTTCCTGGCATTGAATATTAAGATTGGTGAAGCCCTGCAAGCCTGCTCTGCTTAGCTATGGACTTCTGATTCAGTGGAGCAAAGCTCTAGCCCAGACCACCTGAAGAGGCCTTCCAGTAATCTCTCATTTGCATCAATCTGTGAATTCATTTGCATAAACTAACTCCACAGAGTTAACAATCCTGCTCTAAAAGTATAGTCTGCCTGGCTGTGGGCTCCTGCGCCAGCCACAGTAACACACGGGCAGGCATACTGAACAGGCTGTAGACCTTGGCAAATACTCCTAGAATCTCATTTGGACGGTAAATAGAATTAAGCCAAGGTTCATAGGTAGCTCTTCAGCAGCTTGGCATCATGTGAGGTGAGGACACTTGCTCTCCAAAGCTCTCTGTTTAAAACAAAGAACAAACTAACCATCACATCACCCACTTCATTCAACATCACTGCTAGACTGGTCACTAATCTGCATAATTTAAGATATAAGCACCTCAATCTGGAAGAAAATTCAAAGGATAATTTTTCATTTACTAATAAAATATAAACTGCAATCAGCAATACATGAAATCATGTTAGCACAAGTGAATGGAAGTTATAAGTTCAGTCATTCCACAAGTAATTATAGGAAACCTAGTGTCCCAGAATCTGTTCAGGAGGCTCCCACTAACTTCATTGTCTTCTTTCCCCTTAGCAAACCCTGGTTTGTCTTTTGATCCCAAGGAATAAAATATAACATCCTATTAATTCAACAGAAGGGCTCACCAACAAGAAAAACATAGGAAAGTAGGGAAAGGGAAATAAAAATTAAAAATCAGAGCAGAAAGAAAAGTTTAGATATCATCACTTTAACCTAAAGAATTTTCTAAGGTTAAAAATTAATGTATTAAGCCTGGCACTAGTGCCTCATGCCTATAAACCTAGCTACTCAGGAGGCTGAGATGTGAGGACCACAATTTGAAGACAGCCCAGGCAGGAAAGGCTGAGACTCTTTATCTCCAATTAACCACCACAAAAGCTGGAAATGGAGCTGTGGCTCAAGTGGTAGAGAGCTTGCCTTTAGAACAAAAGCTAAGAGACAGCCTCAGGTCCTAAGTTCAAGCCTCAGGACCAGCACAAAAAGAAAACAAAAAAAGGCTTAGAGGGAAAAATGGGAAGAGACAATAAAAAGTAACTACAGCTTACAAAAGAGACAAGCAAAAGCAAACAATCTGTACACACAGTACTCATCCCTAACTAGGCAAGACTTGAGCAAGCAGATTAAAATCTAATGGGGACCTTTTAAGTTCCTTAGCACACATCCCCAGACTATCTTGATATGAAGCCTCCTACAACAGTCATAACAAATGAGCTTCACTTCCCTTCTGTCTGAGCCTCTGAGAGTAAGAAGACCTCAACTCCCATGAAATAGTTCTGTCCACCTTAACTACACTGTGTTTCCATTCCTACCCACCCCAAGGATGAAGGAAGTAAGCAAGATCTCTGGTGAACCCATGGGCCATCTAAAACTTGATTCCCCACTAAGCCAGAGAACAAAGCTGAATGAGATTCTCCTCAGCTCATCAAAGCTCCTCTAAAGCCAGCTGACTTGATAGCACTGTCTCTTCCGATCCTGAGCTTAGTCAATGCACAGCCCTATCATAACCCCTGCTAAGTATGATAATGACAAATGGCATAAGGGTATAAAGAATCCCCTAGAAGATGCTGTCTTGAAGACAGGAACAGCAAAAGGCTGGACATGGCATTAATCAGAGTTAGAGGGCATCAGGTCCAGTTAAGACTTTCCTAGGCCCAGAAAATCATGTGTTTTTCCATTTAGCACAGCTTTACCAAGAACAATCTACCATAGGTCTGTTCTGGGGACCTCAAAACATATTGGGAAAGCTTACAACCGTATGGGAAACATAGCTGCCTCAGTAGCTTGATGAAATAATTAAATAACTCAGTAAGAATACAAGGCATATAGGATTAGGTGTAAGACAGAGGAACCAGAACAAACTGCACAAGCTGAAAAATCTTACTCTATGTAGGGAGTGAGAGAAATTCACCCTAACTCCTGCAGACTGCATCATAATCTTTTTCACACAAAGTCTCACTGGACTTTTTTCTTCTTCAAGAAAACTTTAATGCAGGTAATATTATACCTCATAAAATCTTTCAATATATGAAGTTTCATCAGAATATCTTTGAGAGAAGAAATGATCTAAAATCTACCATGAGTTAAATGTAAAGATGTCATAATTTTTCAGACCATTAAGTCAGCAATCTTCATCTCTGCACTAAGGAAAATACACACAAAATTGCCATGGAAGGGCCAATAAAATTTGCTTAAAATGTTCATAAAATTACCTGATAAATGCAAGGAATTCTTTGAAATTCATCATGTATAAATTAAGCACCACAGAGGCAATGTCATCATTAACAACTTTTTAACTAAGGTGCCTGTGCTTAAAGGAACAGGGAAAGAAGTCCAAACTTCTATCAAATTGCCAAATTTAAATACTTTAATTAAATGAACATCCAGGGGTAAATTAAAAATAAAAGGGGAAATAAACTACCCCCAAGTGAATGACATTCTTCTATATTCTTCTACCACATATTCAGTTAATAAGGGGCTCTGAGCAATAGGGTAATTTTCTTGTCTATTCACAAGATTTCAAGGTGAGCAGCTAATAACTTGCAATGTGTGGCTTAAGATTAATAGCACGCAACAATCAGCATTATAAATTAAAGCTGTCGACCACAGGAGATTAAATGGGTAGAAGGATGTACCGGACTTTGTAAGGTTTACAGGACCAGAGTACCAATCTGGGGAAGGTAAGCCAATCACAGTAAAATCCCCAACCTCAGATCTCCCATCCAAAATGCTGAGACTATCAGAAAGGAAAGGCAGCCAGCTCTGAATGGATCCACAGCATACTTTTCAGGGTCTCCACAGAAGCCCCTGTCTAGCTTCTGGTTCTGAACAACAAGGAGCTCAGCTGCAGTCATTCTGGATCAGTTTTCCAGTATGCACAGTGTTTACTCTCCTCCCTACCTTTGTGACTCCTTTTTTCCATTTTCTGGGTCACATACTTCGTCACACCACTGGAGGTGCCATATATTTTTGGTAATCACACGGTCACCTTTCCACCACCCCAAGAGGGCATCATCTATCATTTGACAAGATTATGACCCAGGACAGAGGGCTTGTGGACACAAAATCACCTCTGCTTCCTCAGATGTTGGAAGCTTCTTCCTTCTTCAATCAATGCATGCTGCCAAGAAGCACCTAAGCTGAAGAATGAAGCTGTCTTCCAACCACACACACACAGAGAACTGTTTCTAAGCCTGCTGC